GGAGTTTTACTCAGCAGTAAAGAAAGATGAAATCATGAAATTTGCAGGTAAATGGATGGAACTAGAAACTGTTATACTAAGTGAAATAACACAGATTCAGAAGAAAAAAAAAAAAGATGTTCTCCCTCATATGTGGATCTTAGCACCAAATCCTGATAAGTGATTATGTGTCCCGACATAACTACAGGAACCGGGGAGGTAAAGGAAAAGAAAGAATCTGAAAGAGAAGAACAGTAGGAAACAGGTGTTTAAAGGGGAGATATGGATAAAAATGGGGTAATTATAAGGGTGGGGGGAGGGAAGGTTATATAAGGAACCTAGGGGACAGAGGAAAAGAAAGAGCTCAAGAAAGGTGGGACCATATGAGAACAGTATTATTACTGGAGAAATGGGGAAAATGGGGGCACCTTAAATAGGGAAACCATGGAGGAAAGGTTAGACAATGAGAGAAATAAAGCTTATCTAGTTTTAAAAACCCAGAAGTAACCATATTAGTCCAATAACCTACTGACAAATTATACATACAATTAGATCAACAAATATATGTCTAGGCAAGGTTTATCTGAGAGCATTTGGTCTTTACCCAAGCTTTATCTACATGGCACATGGTAATTAAAAGTACCAGACTGGTGGAACTAACCTTCTTGGATGTTTAACAGACATACTATGAGGCTTATACTAATTTGGTTAGAGGGACAAAAAGGACATTTTTTGTTCCTTTCCCTCCTAGGTCGACTAAGTTCCAGGGGACTATGAGCATCTCTCAAAATGTCCTGTAACTGGTGAGTCACCTGTCCTCTTGATCAAGGAGGCCATGGAGACCCCACCAGGTGAACTTGAACAAGTGTCCAGTCTACAAAGAGGAGGGTCAACACAAAGGAAACATTTCCTCCAGGCTTCCAAGCAAAGCCAGCCATGGTTGAGCAGGACCTTTGACTTATCTTCACATAGACAGAACTGGTAAAAGAAAGGAGCCAGGGGCTCCTCCCAAGCCCATGTTACCCCCGAGGAACAGATCCTCAAATGACCTTAAGAGTAAAAATAAATTGGTTTATCTGGGCCAACTATAGGGTCTTAAACACCCAAAAGGAAAGTATAACCAAAGATTAATGGGATCAATATAATTTTTTAAGAGTCCATATGCATAGCTACAAGCTACATAACAAGAAACAATGCCAGACAGGAGATACCTTCCTTTGAGTTATTGGCCAAGGTGGCCCAAAAGACTCCAAGACAGTAACCCAGCATAGAACTGGGAAAATGAACAGCAGACCCCAATCTTATCTAAAGGAATATTGAGAACTGATTGCTACTAGATGAGGAACAGCTGATCTTCCTAAAACAAGGCTCTCTAGATAGGCTGACTAGTTTAGCAGATGGACAAGTAGTGGGGAACAGCTGGGGGTGCTAACAACACAGTGGACAGTAACAGGGATGACAGAGTATATGGGCTCCAGTGGGGTGGAGGGGGGGAGCTATGGGAGTGTGCCATTTGGGAAGTGGGTATATAGATGAATAAGATTGTTTGGGATGTTCTGTATGATATGCACACAAAAAAATCAACAATTTTTTAAAATGACATATTTGAGGAGGAAGCATAAAAATTTCTTCATGTTAATTAGAAGAGGTGATAAACATTACCATTGAAATCTACCTGATGACTTTACATCCATATTCAGGTGCCAAGGATCCTAGTGTAACCAACTGTGACTAGTAATAATCAGATACATAGAGATTAAAGACACATGTGCAAAAATCTAAGCATTAGTAGCATTAAAACTGTACGAAACAGCATATTTTAAAATGAAATGGAGATCTTCTTTAAATGGTAAAAACTCATTCGATTCTATGTCTTACAGGGTTTATACTGAGTTCAATATTGTATAACTGTATTAATTCAACTCTGAACCTAAAAATTTACAGCCACTTTTGAAAGAGATGTATCCTTTCTCTGGAATGTGTTACTGAATATGTTAAAGCTTTAATGAAATGCTTCTTCTAATCATGTGGTGCCTATAATCCCAGCACTCAGGAGTCTGAGTCAGGAGAATTATGAATTAAAGGTTAGCCTGGGCTACACAGCACAATCCTATCTCAATCAATTATGAGTAAAGGTAAATTAAACCCTATTTGTAAAAGATTGAGTAAATTTTATATAAATAAACGTGAGTTTTTAAAGAAAGTCACAGTTGTGCTGCAATAGACACTAAGATCATTCAGGCTACTTTTAGAATAAATTTCCCATAAGAGAGAGGCTTCAAGAAAGAGGTGAAATAAGATCAGGCCTGACAGGTCATTGTGAATTAGACCTCAAAATTAAGATTACTTAGATACTGAAAAAAAATTTAAGCAATTAAAGTTTCCAAAAATTTAGTAAAACTTTAAAACAAAGTAAAACAAAAACAACTTGTTAAACCTCAATAGAAAACTTTCCCAAAAACAAAATAAAGGAAAGCCACACCTGAATTTGACATTTGGCCCATTCAGACCAATCACCAAGAAGATCAAAAGCCTGACAAGGCTGGGATGAACAGCCTGTTCTTCCAAGGATGAAAGGTGATAAGACTCTCTCATGTGAACTCCCAGTTCTTTCCACACTTTGCATGTTAGGCAAGAAGCTAATTAAAAAAAAAAAAAAAAAAAAAAAAGGAATA